ACTAATTACTACCCAGACATTCCCCACCTGGGTTGGAGAATTGTGTTTTTCTCCCAAGATACATTTTTAGAAAATCTACGTGGTTCTGCAGTTAAAATCATTTTGAGTTTTGAACTTAACTTTTAGGAACTGTATTGGGTTGGAAGATATACGTGAGCAAAAAACAACAGGAAAAGTTTTTCAACTTCAGAGAAGCTAAAAGCACGTTAGAAAGGGAGAGAGTCCCATTCAAAATCAATATTTAGACAGCATTTCTTAATCAGAATTCTTTCTTTTATGGCTCTCCCATTCCTATCTTCCTATCAAGTGCATAACTGTTTAGCAAAGGATAGAGGGCAGGATATGCAGTAATTCTTACTAAAAAAATCAACTTTGTTTGCAGATTTACTCCAAAAATCTCCAGTGTTTTAGTTTTAATGGTGTTCTTCTCAATCATCATCTGTACATAATTTTTGTGGGTATGTAGACTGGTAGAATTCAGAAACTTGTATCTGTGATTAGCCAACTGAGGTATGAAGGTGTCTCTTTGACTCCTTGAAAAGAATGCACATCTAGATGTTTTCCAATAACTAATTTCATATTTTACCCAAAGTGAGAATCTATGGCTAATAGATTATTCAATAATGCACTCAACTAGAACATTAAACAGACTTCTTGTTATGACATTATGTCCTGGCTTATTACAAAGCTAATGCTAATCGTAGTTTGCTGGCTTGCAAACCCTGATAGATCTCAGAAGCTTATTCCAGCAAATCCCAGGTTACAGAACTTGAAGCTGAGAAGTTGAAAATAGCCTAGCAGAAGATGCCTGATTATCACCCGTGTCTGTCTGTCTTTCTGATTGATAGATGAGTTCTTAGCTGCTACTCACACTGAGGAAGAAGCAAAACAGCCTCAGTTTCAGCCAACAGGCTCTTTTGCATTTTTGGTTACTAAATTGAGAGAAGAGCATCCCAACATAATCTGAATGCTATTTATCTTGAGTGATTGGTTATTGCAAGCCTCTATAGTTTTGGAGAATTAGAGATTATATTAACGTCTCCACCTCCCAGTTCAGGCTCATTGTGTTGCTGTGGGCATAGTTTCACTCTGCAGTCAAGGTTTTGGTGGATGAACTATCCACTCTGAAATGATCAAAGTTGACAAGGTGGAATTATTCTAGCAGATGTATGACAGTATCTTTAAGCCCTTTCTTATTCCCTTCCCTCCCTCCCTCCCTTTTTCTTTCTTTCTTTCTTTCTTTCTTTCTTTCTTTCTTTCTTTCTTTCTTTCTTTCTTTCTTTCTTTCTTTCTCTGTCTCTCTCCCTTCCTTCTTTTCTTTCTTTCTTTTTTCTTTCTCTCCCTCCTTCTTTCTTTCTTTCTTTTTTCTCTCTGTCTCTCTCTCTCCCCCTCCCTTCCTTTCTTTCTTTCTTTCTCTCTCTCCCTCTTTCTTTCTTTCTTTCTTTCTCTCTCTCTCCCTCCTTCTTTCTTTCTTTCTTTCTTTTTTTCTCTCTGTCTCTCTCCCTTCTTTCTTTCTTTCTTTCTTTTTTTCTCTCTCCCTCCCTCCTTCCTTCCTTCCTTCCTTTCTTTCTTTCTTTCTTTCTTCTTTTCTTCCCTCCCTCCCTCCCTTGAGCACATCCTCTGTTTTGAAGCAGAAACAATGAGTACAAGGCCTGCTAAAACAGAGTTGTTCCTCCCCACTGCCAGGAGACTGAAAAGGGCAAAGCAAGGCATCACCATCAGTAACTCCATGCAAGTGGCTGGTTAAAAAAAAAAAATCACAGAAATTCAAGCAGACAGGATGCATGCATGCAGGAATCCTCTCCACAAAGTCAAAAGCTTCTTGCACAATGTTCAGGAGCTTTGGAAGTCTTCAGACTATTGAATTGCTGTTGAATCCTCTGTGAGGTTCTTGCCAAGGGGAAGCTGGCCAAGAGATAAATCTTGGGATAGAGCAACCAGTAGTGGAATACAGGGAGGTGTTCCTTTTAAAGATCAGGGGTGGGGAACCAACCTTTTATGACTCGTGGACTTCGACTCCCAGAATTCCCGAGCCAGTGTGGCTGGTTCAGGAATTCTGGGAGTCGAAGTCCATGAGTCGTAAAATGGAAATGGTTCCCCACCCCTGCTTTTACATCACTGTGGCAAAAGAAGAACTTTGGCTGAGATATCATCCTGTAGTGCTATCGGTCATCCGATCAGCAGAGAGACTTCCAGATGGGTCTAGTTTGGTCTTGTCCCAAAACTCTGGAGTAAGCACTTTTCTTGTCTGTATTTACCATTTGGAAAGCCTCCATTTGAGTCAAAAAGAGGGGCACCTGGTGCTGGGTCCCTCACGAAGGTAGCTCAGTGGACCGTCAAAAAACAATACCTCTTTTGCTCTCACTTGTACACTACCACAAAGGAGTAGAACACAATTAGGAAGCGCAACTCAGAAAGTATTGTAGATGTCTCAGTTGCCTGACAAGGAAGCTAATAGTTCTGCTGGGAATAGGGAATCTCGTGTTTCAGGATTGGGCTGTTGGACACTCAGGAAGAAGTCAACAGAGACAAATTGTTGCATCTGGGAATGACCGTGGGAATGGGGTAGGCAAAGAAACAAGAGGGATTGAGCAAGGATCAGCCATAGGCATCTCTGCATTATAGCGTTAAGAAAGACTGACTTTTTAAAAAAAAAAAAAAAAAACAAGCAGAGGGCAGCAAAATGAAAAATGGTGTTTCAATTATTCCTTGCCAGCAAAAAAAAATAGGTCAGCCGTAGCTGATCTCTTTTCCTTCAGCGGATACTGGTAGAAAACAACCCAGTTAGGCTGGCTGGCCAGGAAAGGAAAGAACAAGATATGTGGTCCGAGTATATGCAGTGAAGCCATTATGCGAGTCTATATGTATATATATATATGTCACTCCTTTTTATTATTTTGTTGTTTTTACAAATAACTCAAGGCAGCAAACACATCCAACTCATTTTCCTCTTCCCCTTTTCCCCACAAAACAATCCTGTGAGTGGGTTGAGCTGAGAGAAACGGATTGACCCAAAGTCACCCAGCTGGCTTTCATGGTTAAGGCAGAACTAGAACTCACAGTCTCCTGGTGATTGGCCCAAAGTCACCCAGTTGGCTTTCATGGTTGAGGTGGGACTAGAACTCACAGTCTCCTGGTGATTGGCCCAAAGTCACCCAGTTGGCTTTCATGGTTGAGGTGGGACTAGAACTCACAATCTCCTGGTGATTGGCCAGGAGTCAGGTGCCTTAGCCACTAGACCAAGTTGTTTCTGTGAGCCTAGCCCACTGTGACATCACTACAAAGCATGTAAAGAAAGGAATTGACCCAAAGTCACCCAACTGGCTTTCATGATTAAGGCAGAACTAGAACTCACAGTCTCCTGGTGATTGGCCCAAAGTCACCCAGTTGGCTTTCATGGTTAAGGTGGGACTAGAACTCACAGTCTCCTGGTGATTGGCCCAAAGTCACCCAGTTGGCTTTCATGGTTAAGGCGGGACTAGAACTCACAGTCTCCTGGTGATTGGCCCAAAGTCACCCAGTTGGCTTTCATGGTTGAGGTGGGACTAGAACTCACAGTCTCCTGGTGATTGGCCCAAAGTCACCCAGTTGACTTTCATGGTTAAGGTGGGACTAGAACTCACAATCTCCTGGTGATTGGCCAGGAGTCAGGTGCCTTAGCCACTAGACCAAGTTGATTCTGTGAGCCTAGCCCACTGTAACATCACTACACAAGCATGTAAAGAAAGGAATTGACCCAAAGTCACCCAACTGGCTTTCATGATTAAGGCAGAACTAGAACTCACAGTCTCCTGGTGATTGGCCCAAAGTCACCCAGTTGGCTTTCATGGTTGAGGTGGGACTAGAACTCACAATCTCCTGGTGATTGGCCGGGAGTCAGGTGCCTTAGCCACTAGACCAAGTTGATTCTGTGAGCCTAGCCCACTGTAACATCACTGCACAAGCATGTAAACAAGGGGTTTCCACAGTGACATCCCTTGAGGGAAGACTTGCTATAACATGTCCCCTTTGCTATGAATCCCCTGTAATCAGAACTATATTTTCTTATATGCTATCTGGAGCCTCTGGCTCCAGGCTTACAAACTGTTCAAATAAATTAATGAGTGAATGTGGCTAATGAGATTTAAGATGCTCACATTGGAGAAAAAATTGTGTTCCTTCAGGCAGTGATGGGGAACGAGGTCATGCTTTCTAAAATGTCCTCCACACAAGAGAAGGAGGAGTAGAACCCATGTTATATTCAGCTGAAAGGACCGCACCAGATCCTTTTATTCCTTAAGCCTAGGAATGTTGATCTGGAATGATGAGAGTTTTATTCCCCGCTCAGCAGGAGCAATGTTTGTCAACCCTAGCTATGTGGACTTCAACTCCCAGAATCCTTTAGTCAGCAGGCTGGCTGGGGAATTCTGGGAGTTGAAGTCCACACATCTTCAAGCTGCCAAGGTTGAAAAACACTGAGCGGGAGGGTGTAGGTTTAAGGAAGGGTGTTCTGGCATATCTGATTGCATTCTGGGCCATCTTCTTATTGGCAAAGAGTTTATAATTTTATTTATTATTTATGTATTTATTTATGAACTGTCCATCCCCCCTCAGAAATAAATAGAAATAAACCGTCCATCTCCCTCAAAGATAAATTAGAGTGATGAATTTGAATGATGTGATCTCTTCTGTTAGCTTCTTTCTGTTCATTACATAAACCAACTTTCCCAATCCCAGTGCTGTCTTGGCTGTGTGGACTTCAACCCCCACATTTCCTAGCTAACCTGGCCGTTTGCCGAGAATTTTGGGAGCTGAAGTCTGCCCCTCTAGTAGGCCCCAAGGCTGAGGTGGTCTAGATAGAATCAAATGTTGGCCTGCAGTGGACTTTCCTTTTGTCTTTCTTAGTTGTTGGCTGTGAAATTCAAGATGGAGGATTGGTTCATCATGCCCAAGGCTGCTCTTCATCTCTTGCACGTCATTACCTAAGCTCAATTTTGTGTATCTGTGTGTTTCTCTTCCAGCTTGTGGTCCTGGGACGTTCAAATCAAAACAGGGAGAAGGTCTTTGTTCTCCATGTCCTCCCAACAGCCGGACAAATTCTGGAGCTGCCACTCTTTGCACGTGCCGGAATAATTATTTCAGAGCGGATACCGATCTCCCCGACAGTGCCTGCACCAGTAAGGCTCGTTCCAAGGTTTTCTTTTGGTTTTAATAAATGTTTATTCATGCAGTCTCAGGTATCCAGGATAAATTAGCATATCTCTGAAATCAAAAACAACCCACAAGAGGGAATTAAATTAAGAACTCTGCTAAATGCAAGCAAGATGGAATGTTTCTCAGCTGACCACATCTGTCCAGGCAGATAGCCAGCCGGGGAGAGGATTGATTATTTTCCAGAAAGGCTATTTCACACGCTAGCTGTGTTTGCTTGGCAAGCTAAAATTGAGATAAAAACCATGAGGTTCCCTTTGCACAACATGCTAAAGCTTGGATAAAGTATGCTTAGCTGGTTTGGGTCATGGCTTGGCACCCTGTGCTAATCCATCCTATTTGTTATAATTCACTAACCAGGTTAAATGTGTTTGGGAATGCAATGCTGGGTAGAATCCAACCTATATTAGTCACTAGGTCAGGGGTAGGCAACCTTGGCTCTTTTATGACTCGTGGACTTCAACTCCCAGAATTCCTGAGCCAGCATGGCTCAGCATGGAAACCTCTTTTTCCCCTCAGCATGGCTGTCTCAGGAATTCTGGGAGTTGAAATCCATGAGTCATAAAGGACCAAGTTTTAAGACCCTTGTGCTAGAGCAGGGGTAGGCAACCTTGGCTCTTTTATGACTTGTGGACTTCAGCTCCCAGAATTCCTGAGCCAGCATGGCTCAGCTTGGGAACCTCTCCCTTTCCCCTCAGCATGGCTGGCTCAGGAATTCTGGGAGTTGAAGTCCACGAGTCATAAAAGAGCCAAGGTTGCCTACCCCTGCACTAGGTGCACATTCACCAAGAAGCCACAGATTTAAGCACACATTGAATCATTCCAGTGACTGTCAACCCTTCAAAATAGATTTGCCTCAGAAACCAATACCATACAGGGAGTCCTTGACTTACAACCAAAACTGAACCCAAATTTTCCGTTGCTAAGCAAGATAGTTGTTGTGAATTTTGCCCCACTTTACGACCTTTCTTGCCACAGTTAAGTAAATCACTGCAGTTATTAAGTTAGTGACACGGTTGTTAAGTGAATCTGGCTTCCCCATTGAGTTTGATTGTCAGAAGGTTGCAAAAGGAGATCACATGACCCCGGGATACTGCGGCTGTCATAAATATGAGTCAATTACCAAGCGTCTGAATTTGGATCACATGACTATGGGGATGCTGTAACAATCAAAAGTGTGAAAAACTGTCATAAGGAACTTTTTCCATGCTGTTATAACTTTGAACAGTCACTAAACGAACTTGTGGTAAGTCGATTGATTACAGAAGTGTCATACAAATTGGACACTGGATTCTACCAATTCTTGAAAATCCTGGTGATTGGTTGAGAATATGCTATCGATTCTAGATCAGCAGTGATTGAAAGGTGGATCAGGCTGTGTCATTAGCTCTTCAGATGAGTTACATGGATCCTTTGAGATTGCCGATTGTCTAAGCCAAACAAAAAGGATTTCCACCATTGCCCTAAATTACACAACCGAAATACTTCAAATGTCTTTCATCTCTTCAGCTACTCAAAACCAGTTCTTCTAAGATCATGGGTTGCCTCATCCCTTAGGGCTCCTGTAAAAATAACGAGATAAATCCAAATCTATGCCAAAGAGTTAAAGGGGTTTCAGTACACTGGCTGAAATATAACAAAAAATTATAATAACTAATAAATACAAAGAGAATTTGGGCTTCACTGAATTAACAGCACTTCTCTTTTGCAACCCAGAAGTGCAAGATTTTAAATACTGGAGTCATAACTGGTGAGCTTCTTGCTTTAACTCTAATACAGATATACAGGAATTCCTCATTTTAGTAAGTATTTGTTTGGCGACCATTTGAAATGACATTGCGCTAATTGAATGGTATTTATGAACAGTTCTGAAATGGTAAAGGGCAGGGGTAGGCAACCTTGGCTCTTTTATGACTTGTGGACTTCAACTCCCAGAATTCCTGAGTCAGCATGGCTCAGCTTGGAAACCTCTCCCTTTCCCCTCAGCGTGGCTGGCTCAGGAATTCTGGGAGTTGAAGTCCACAAGTCATAAAAGAACCAAGGTTGCCTACCCCTGGTATAGGGTTTCCTGCCTGAGCAGGGGGTTGGACTAGATGACCTCCAAGGTCCCTTCCAACATTATTATTATTATTATTATTATTATTATTATTATTATTATTATTATTGCCATTAATGGTCACGTGATAATAATTTGGACACCTGGCAGCCCACCCATTTATAGGACTGCAGCATGTGCTGCAATTCCCCTCACCCACCTATCTTCCTTCCCACTATTGATGAGGCATTCCTAGCCCAGACAGTTGTCGCCACTTCACAACGCCTTGCAACACCCTCCCAAAACTTTCACAACGCCTCTGCAATGCTTCGTGATACCTCGCAACACCTCTGTGAGATCTCATGGAGGAATTGTGAAGGATCGGCAGTTGCTTCGGCCCAGCACGTCTCATCGGTAATAGGAGAAAGGACGTGGCAGAGGCCTGAAGGCTAGATGGGGGGGGGGAGGAAGTTGACATAGAGCAGGGGTCCTCAAAGTTGGCCCTTTTAAGACTTGTGGACTTCAACTCCCAGAATTCCTCAGCCAGGCATGCTGGCTGAGGAATTCTGGGAGTTGAAGTCCACAAGTCATGAAGGGGCCATAATTCCCCCATGTTGGCTGAGGAATTCTGGGAGTTGAAGTCCACAAGTCATAAAAGGGCCAAGTTTGAAGATCCCTGATATAGAGGCAAGCTGGCTCTGCAAAGGGAGCTTGCCAAGACTGGCCAGGAAGGAAGGAATGGGACACAGGCGGAAGTTTACCCAGGCCAAAAGCATGAAGTCCTTGCATTAAGACGGTGTGATCCTCACCTAACGACTGCAACCAGGATTACAGGAATTGCCATCGCTGAGTAGTGTAAGTCATATGACAGGGGTCCTCAATCTTGGCAACTTTGGCTGAGGAATTCTGGAAGTTGAAGTCCACAAGTCTTAAAACTGCCAAGGTTGAGGACCCCTGTCACATGATGTTTCACCTAAGTAATGCTTTGCTTAGCAACAGAAATTCTAGCCCCAGTTAAGATTCTTAAGCAACGACTAGCAGCTTGTTTGTGCTTTCCAACATAGTACATTGCATACAGGCAGTGATCGACTCACAACCACAATTGATTCCAACAATTCTGTGGCCAAGCGAGACAATTAGTTTAATGAGTTTTGCCTTCCCTTGCTGTAGTTGTTCAGTGAACAATTAACCAGTAGAACAACCTGCCTCCAGAAGTGGTGAATGCTCCAACACTGGAAGTATTTAAGAAGAGACTGGACAGCCATTTGTCCGAAATGATATAGGGTTAACTGGGGCTAGAATTGCCTGAACAGGGAGTTGGACTTGATGACCTCCAAGGTCCCTTCCAACTTATTATTATTATTATTAATAATAATAATAATAATAATAATATGAGTCAGTTTTGCCAAGCATCTAAATTTTGATCACGCCACCATGGGAATGCTGCAGTGGTCGTAAGTGTGAAAAACGGTCATAAGTCACTTTTTTCAGTGCTGAGATAGCTTCAGTCACTAAATGAATGGTTGTAAGTCAAGGTTGTGCTGTCTGTTTGAGATGGGAAAATTGGAAAGTAGTTAAACATAGTTCGACTGGGTGGGTTTGTCTGGCCTGAGAAATTAAACAGTCGAGTCTATTAAAACCTGAATGTAAGATTGCCGAGAATATCAATCTAGTCCAGTGGTTCTCAACCTGTGGATCGGGACCCCATTTGGGGTCGAACGACCATTTCATGGGGGTCGCCAAACAACGCAGTCTACCATTTTTCCCCCTTTTCCTTAGCTGTGCTACTCCCTTTTATTCTATTGGCTTTTGAAAGCCAATAGACTAGACTCTCTTGAATAGAGTCTAATTCTATTGGCTTTCAAAAGCCAATAGGAATTGTCCAGGCTGTCTCTGCCCTGCTGAGCCCGCCAAAAGTCCCATTCTGCAAATGGTGCTGCACCAGTTGAGTAGTCCTCGACTTACGACCGGTTGAGTAGTCCTCGACTTACGACCGGTTGGGGGTCGCGGCATTAAAAAGGTTGAGAACCACTGGTCTAGACTGGAAAACAATTTTTTTTTAAAAAATAAATCCTAAAAGGAGGGGATAACCAGTAGAGAAACATGTCTCAAAAGAGACTTCAACGTTCATTTTTGAAAGCAAGGCAGATATTCACGTAAATGTACATCCACTGCCCAGATTTTCAGAATGTTTGCAAAGCAGCTTCAGAAAGTTGTTTGGAGAGGAGAAAGGTACATAAATCATGTCAAATGCTAGCCAAAGGTGCCTTTTTATGGCCAGTTTTTCCATGATTCAAATAAAAGTATACCATAAATTTGGAAAGACTTTAGAGTTCAGTTTGAAAGACAGGGGGGATGTATCTCCCTTTTTACAGAGGTCATATGGATTATTAAGATCAATATAATCCAACATAGTTAAGGCTTTTTTTTTAATCGTCTCCTGCGCCGTTTCCCTGGAAAATATTAGCACAACGTTCTCCACAAGCAGAAATGAAGACCTGGCTTCCAAGTGGATCTTTTTATTATTATTATTATTACTGAAGCAATCAACTTTTAGTCCTTATTCCTTCCGGATCAGGTGGCCCATTGTTTGTTTCTAGCAAGCAATATAAGCTACAATTTTTATTTATTCAGTATTATGGGAAGCAAGTCACTTAGAAGAGAAACCCTACCCTAACCGAATTACTATTGAATGTTGCCTTAATCCAGTGTTTCTCAACCTTGACAATTTTAAGGCATGTGGACTTCAACTCCCAGAATTCCACAGCCAGCAATGCTGGCTGTGGAATTCTGGGAGTTGAAGTCCACATGCCTTAAAATTGTCAAGGTTGAGAAACACTGCCTTAATCCAAAGAGCAGGTAATGAAGTGCTCTTCATCTCCATCAGTCTCCTCAGTCTGTGAATAGCATGAAGATTGTGAAAGGCTATTTTTGCACACCCCAGAACAAAAGCAAGATGCTTCAAATTTTTTAAAAAGCTCCCTATCAAGTTTCACCCTCCACCCTCCACACCCTGTGCCAGTTCACGGGGGTGTGAAATCTGGTGGCAAGTTAGCAAAACTTTTAGAAATGTTGGGATTTAGTTTAAAAATGCAACAACCCCATCTCCCCACAAAAATTAGAAGGCTAACAATTTTATTTCTGCCATTGTGGTTTTGGTGGCCAAAATGGTCATTTTAACAATAAAGAATTGCCCTCCACAGCTGAAAACCTGCCCATCTCTGGGCACAGATTTCGCCTTTCCAGGTAAACAGTATTACACAAGGAACAAAAAAGAAGGAAGAAATACCAAGTCAAACAAGACAGGAGATAAGAAAGGAGAAGGAAATAAAGTTAAATCTAAATTAATACCAGCCCCATTCATTTGTGTGCGGCGGCAGCCAAAAAAGCTAATACAATCCTTGGTTGTATAAACAGAGGCATAGAAACAAAATCACGTGACATATTAGTACCGCTTTATAAATCCTTAGTCAGACCACACTTGGAATACTGCATCCAGTTTTGGTCACCAGATTACCAAAAAGGTGTTGATACTTTGGAAAAATTGCAAAGAAGAGCAATTAAGATGATTAAAGGCCTGGAGTCAAAAACATACGAAGAATTGCAGGAACTGGGTGTGGTTAATCTAAAGAAAAGAAGGACTAGGGGTGACATAATAGCAGTATTCCAGTATTTGAGGAGTTGCTATAAAAAAGAGTGTGGTCAACCTATTTTCCAAAGCATCAGCAGGCAAGATAAGAAACAATGGATGGAAACTCATCAGGGACAGAAGCAATCTGGAATTAAGAAGAAATTCCCTAACAGTGAGAACAATTAACCAGTGGAACAGCTTGCCTTCAGAAGTGGTGGGTGCTTCATCATTGGAGGTTTTCAAAAAGAGATTGGACAACCATTTGTCAGCTGCCAAAAGGCCAACACAGTGCTAGGCTGCATTAACAGAGGGATAGAATCAAGATCACGTGAAGTATTAATGCCACTCTACAAGGCCTTGGTAAGGCTGCACTTGGAATACTGCATCCAGTTTTGGTCACCACGGTGTAGAAAAGATGTTGAGATTCTAGAAAGAGTACAGAGAAGAGCAACAAAGATGATTAGGGGACTGAAGGCTAAAACATATAAGGAATGGTTGCTAGAATTGGGTATGTCTAGTTTAACGAAGAGAAGGACAAGGGAGGACATGATAGCAGTGTTCCAATATCTCAGGGGCTGCCATAAAGAAGAGGGAGTCAAGCTATTTTCCGAAGCACCTGAAGGCAGGACAAGAAGCAACGGGTGGAAACTAATCAAGGAGAGAAGCAACCTGGAACTAAGGAGAAACTTCCTGACAGTGAGAACAATTAATCAGTGGAACAACCTGTCTCCAGAAGCAGAAAATGCTCCAACACTGGAAGTTTTTAAGAAGAGACTGGACAGCCATTTGTCCAAAATGGTGTAGGGTTTCCTGCCTGAGCAGGAGGTTGGACTAGATGACCTCCAAGGTCCCTTCCAACTTTACTATTATTATTATTATTATTATTATTATTATTATTATTATTATTATTATTATTGTTGTTGTTGTTGTTATTATTATTTGGAATAGTATAGGGCAGGGATCCCCAACCCCCGTTCCGTGGACCAATACCGGTCCGCGGCATGCCAGCAACTGGTCCGACAAACAAGCAAAGCCCCATCCGCGGGATGCAGGCAGCATACAAAACCACGCCCCCTCCGGTCCATGGAAAAACCTCTCTCCACAGAACCGGTCCCTGGTGCCCAAAAGGTTAGGGACCTCTGGCATAGGGTCTCCTTCTTGAGCAGGGGGTTAGACTAGAAGACCTCCAAGGTGCCTTCCAGCTCTATTCTGACTGACTGATTAAATTGTTTCTGTCGTATCTTTATGTGTCCATTGTTGCAAATCATTGTTGCATCCCTCACATCGATAGTCCAGATTTATCCCTGGCACACTCGTGCTGCTCTAAGGAAACATCTGCCTTGCAAAGCCAACCATTTGGCTGCTGAGTTCCAGCAACTCAGACGCACACGTGATACTTGGGGGGGGGGGAGGAAGTTGGAGGCGTCTTGAGGACCTTTGATTTCCTTGCAGGCGTGCCCACAGCCCCCCGCAGCGTCATTTCCAACGTGAACGAGACGTCCTTAGTGCTGGAGTGGAGCGAACCCCGAGACTCGGGCGGGAGAGATGACTTGCTGTACAACATCATCTGCAAGAAGTGTAGCGTGGAGCGCCGGCTGTGCATGCGTTGCGACGACAACGTGGAGTTTGTCCCCCGCCAACTCGGCTTGACCGAGAGGCACATCTACATCAGCAACCTGATGGCCCACACCCAGTATACCTTCGAAATCCAAGCAGTGAACGGCGTCTCCAGCAAAAGTCTGCAAAACCCCCAGTTTGCCTCGGTCAACATCACAACCAATCAGGCAGGTGAGTACTTCTGCGAAGGATACTATAATTCTTTCTCTCCCTGGAACCTTCCCCATTGCACCGGTGCAGATCCCGCTGGATTAAGTTAGGAATCTCCTTCCTGCCAAAAAAAAAAAAAGTCCTGGGAGATAGCATTAAAATTCTGAGCTAACGTAAGGATTTTTGTTGCAAACAAATCAAATGCGTTGTTAATTTTGTTTGAAGTATTTACAAGTGAGGTAATGCGAGTGATATTGCAAACAATTGTTCTTTTCTCCATTTGTCTAAACATTTAGCATAGCAGCCCAGCTCCAAGGTTGATCTTTTTTTAAAAAAAAAAAATGAATTTGGATACCTCGACCTGTATGAAATAAAATGAGCAAGTAAATAACAGATGGAACGAAAGGAGAAAGATATCCTACAAGTCAAAGCTGTTACATATGTGTAGTTCTTCTTTTATCAAGTTACAACAGCTCTGATTTTCTGAAGCTCCCCAAATTTGAAAATGCAATTCTCTAGCAACTGATAGAAAAATATAACTAGTGTCCTTGATGTAGACTGCCAGCATTTGAGAAGAATATTGAGATCTATGCGGGAGGAGAAAAATAAGAAGAATTTTAGAAGAATAAGAAGACTTTTATTTATTTATTTTATTTTTATTTTTAAAATTTATAAGCCGCCCCACTCCCGAAGGACTCTGGGCGGCTAACAATAAAAAACACATAAAACATAACAAACAACAATACAAAAACAATCATCCAGGGGTCAGATTTTATAAACCCCAGGCCTGCCGGAAAAGCCAGGTCTTAAGCAGCTTACGGAAAACCAACAGGGTGGGATCGGTCCTAATCTCCGGGGGAAGCTGATTCCAAAGCGTGGGCACCATCACAGAGAAGGCCCTCCTCCGCGGCCCCGCCAAATGGCACTGCTTGGCCGACGGGGCCTGAAGGAGGCCCAGCCTGTGGGATCTAACCGGACGTAGGGAACTATGAGGTAGTAGGCGGTCTCGCAAATAGCCTGGCCCTGAGCCATATAGGGCTTTAAAGGTAATGACCAACACCTTGAATTGGACCTGGAGACCAATAGGCAACCAGTGCAGCTCGCGGAGGATAGGTGTAACGTGGGTGTATCGAGGAGCACCCACTATCACTCGCGTGGCTGCATTCTGGACCAACTGTAGTCTCCGAATACTTTTCAAGGGTAGCCCCATGTAGAGCGCGTTGCAGTAGTCCAAACGTGAGGTGACTTCTCTGGGTTCTTGGTGCTTTCTGGGCTTGGTTGTGTTCTTGAAGACCTTTCATTACCCAACTAAATAACATCATCAGTGCTAGAAGGATGTGGAGTTTGCTCTTTGTTTATATACTAGTGGCTTGCCCATTTGGTATTGGTGGGAGTGTTCTTGATTAGGCTGTTTATGATTAGCTTGTTTGTTTGAGTTGACAGTCCCTTGATTCGCTGATAAAGCAAGCTACTAGTATATAAACAAGAGATCAAACCCCCACTCCCTTCGAGCAGTGATTGTGTTATCTAGTTGGGTAATGAAATGTCTGCAAGAAGATAACCAAACTCAGAGACAACCAAGGTCCCCACAGTTCAAACCTGAGCTATAAAGACTCTCTTCTATTGGTTCCTAGCACTGATGACGTTATCTAGTTGGATAATGAAACGTCTGCATGAGAACCTCCAAGCTCAGAGAGCACCAAGGACCCCACAGTTGAACCCTGAAACACAGATACTCTCTTCTCTCCATAGTCTTAGCTTATGTAGGCCTTCCTGGAGAGGGACTCTCCTAGCAAATGTGATGGCATCACACTGCTGTTTTGGGCCCAGTGAAATGAATGCTGTTCGGAAGTGGCGTGGCCGTTCAGTGGTATTAAAGCAGCCAGGTGTCTACTTCAGAGCCCATTGAGCTTCGCAGTTGTGGTTATTATTCAACTCATAAAAAACACTGGAAGATGGCAAAGAAGAAATGATTCTAGATGACCAATCCAGCATTCATGCACGGAATCTCCTGTTGCCAGGAGAATCGTGGCGTTGTTAAGAGCAGGGACTTGTTTTAACTGAGATGGAGAGAAATGCTAACGAGTCCCACCCGTCTTTTGCAGCCCCCTCGGAAGTTCCCACAATGCATCTGCACGGCAGCTCCGGAAGTAGCATGACCCTCTCTTGGGAGCCCCCAAAGCGGCCCAACGGGATCATCTTGGACTATGAGATCAAGTACTTTGAGAAGGTAAATTTCTTTTCCTGGTAGGAGCAGAGTCCCAGCAAGGGCTTCTCCCAGACAAATTCATCTCCTCCTAATAGACACTTAGTGGGCTTCTCTTCTCAGTCAGAGGTGAAAGAGTGGCACTGATTTATTGCAGCTGATGCCCATGACCTGGGAACCAGAAGGACCCCAATTCACATCGTTCCCTCAGTCCTTCAAATCAGGGATCTCCAAACTTGGCAACTGTTAAGGCTTTTGGATTTCAACTCCCAGAAATCCTCAGCTAGCATGACTGGCTGAAGAATTCTGAGAACTGAAGTCCATAAGTCTTAAAGTTGCCAAGTTTGAAGACCCTTGCCTTAGATTATGATAAACCTTCTACTTTTTTCTATCATCACGGGCCACTTTCTTTCAAGGCTGGGACTAGAGCTGGAAGGAAGTGGGAGAATCTTTTCTTGAACTTTGCTTTTTCCTCTTTCTAAGAGCTTCTCTCTCTCTCTCTCTCTCTCTCTCTCTCTCTCTCTCTCTCTCTCTCTCTCTCTCTCTCTCTCTCTCTCTCCTCCCCCTCTCTGTCTGTCTGTCTCTCTTTCTCTGTCTTTCTCTCTCTCTCTTCTTCCCTGTCTCTCTGTCTTTCTCTCTCTCTGTCTCTCTTCTCTTTCTCTCTTTCTTTCTCTGTCTTTCTGTCTGTCTCTCTTTCTCTGTCTTTCTCTCTCTTCTTCCCTGTCTTTCTCTTTCTCTCTCTCTCTCCCTTTCTCTGTCTTTCTGTATGTCTATCTCTCTCTCTCTTTCTTTCTCTGCCTTTCTTTCTCTCTCTCTCTTCTTCCCTGTCTCTGTCTTTCTCTTTCTCTCTCTCTCTCTTTCTCTGTCTTTCTGTATGTCTGTCTCTCTCTCTATCTCTCTCTTTCTTTCTATGTCTTTCTCTCTCTGTCTTTCTCTGTCTTTCTTTCTATCTTTCTCTCTCTCCTCTCTCTCTGTCTCTCTCTTTTTGTCTTTCTGTCTCTCTCTCTTCTTCTTCTCTCTCTTTCTTTGTCTCTCTATCTGTCTTTCTCTCTCTCTCTTCTCCCCTCTCTGTCTCTCTCTCTTTCTCTCTCTCTCCCTCTCTCTCTGTCTCTCTCTCTCTTTGTGTGTGTGTTTGTGTGTGTGTCTCTCTCTCAAGCAGAATAGGTGACTAGGGGAAAGAAAGGAAAGCTTTACCAAGGATTCAATCAATATTTTTCATGGAATTCTAGAAGTAAGGGCTATAGCTGTCAGTTGCCTACCTTATCTCTATCAGAATTTTTTTTATTTCCAGATTTCTATTTATACTATGCGGGTTATGAGATACTGTAAGCATGCTTCTTGGGGGTTGTTATCAGAATGATTAGAGGACTATACTTGGTGTTCTTCCAACAACTGGCAGCATTATTTAGCTGATGATGGTGATGATGATGATGATGATGATGATGATGATGAAGAAGAAGATGAAGATGGTGGTGGTGACTGGGGTGATGATGAAGTTGATGATTAAGGTAGGAAGATTTCCTACCTGAAGGTGAAGTGTCTATTAGCAAAGCACAGTTCTTTGAGTGTGTCCATTTTCCAAATACTACCCAGAAATCTGTAAAAAGGAGAGTTATGGATAATCCTGAATAGTTTTGCTGTTCTTCCTTCAATGAAGATTCATTGGCTGCATTCAAAGACACACACAGCCTGCTTACCCAATCCACTTCACTTTCCTGGGCTTGCACATGAAAGCAAAAATTACACAAAACAGGCCAGGTTTGTATGAGACAGGAAGTCCCCAAAACCATATCAACAAAGTTAAACCCCAATCCTAATCCTGACCTTAATAAAAAACAAATGTGCTGGTCAAATACATCCATCAGTCTACCCAAATACATAAACCCAGTCTTTAAAAGACCTGGATACATCCATCCAGTCGCTAACAGGCCTGGATAACTTGCCTGTTCTGATTATTAAAACCATAGCTTTAAAAGGAGGCAGTAGCTCAGTAATCAAATACATGACGTGGATCCAAGAAGTCCCAGATCAAAAGTCTAAACGTCCAGATTAAAGAAAGCTGCGTGTCAGACTTGCCACCACTTAAACCTCTAAATAGAAGCAACTCTTGGCTCCACTTGTTGAAAAAGGTATAGTTTTATTAGAAGTCATGTGTAATGCATAGCGAGAATAGAGAATCACGCACCAAAATCCTTAAATTCAACTTTTCCCTCCCTTAACCGCCTCTCATCGCTGATTCTCCAATAACCAATCATGTTCAAGCAAGATGTTTTTCGGAACAGTCAATTCAAGTCTAGGTTGGTATGTAGCTGCCTTCTTCTCCCAGCCAGCTGACGTTGAGGCAGGGTCTTGGGGGATACAGCAGTTACTTTCGCTTTCCCCCAGGTGTTGCCCCTCCCATCCACTTCCCCATTGTTCATGGCCGACTGTCACTGCATGGTAGCAAAGCACAAGCAAGCATAAGGTGGCAGCTGACACTGGACTAGACAGATCAACCATAGAGTTCAGTCCATTGCCCAACAAACAGTAGGGAAGGGCTGGATTCGGTTCTGAGATGCCTCTTTCCTCTTTTTCACAGCAAGGCCAGACTGATGGCATTGCCAACACCGTCACCAGCCAGAAGAACACGGTGCGCCTGGAAGGACTGAAGCCTAACTCTGCGTTCGTAGTGCAAGTCAGGGCTCGGACAGTGGCAGGATACGGCCAATACAGCTTTCCCATGGAGTTTCGGACGCTGGTTGATGATGGTATGCAATTTGTCATTTGTCCCTCCTCTTCCACCCCGTTCTCCTTCTCTCCTTCGCTCACTCTTGTTCTTGGTCTCATCCCACCCGTAACAGGCTCCAGTAGCAAGAGCTTCCAGGAACTTCCGCTAATTGTGGGCTCAGCAACGGCAGGACTCGTCTTTGTGATAGCGGTGGTGGTGATCGCCATCGTCTGCTTCAGGTACCATCCCTTGAAGGGCTTGGGGCTACCTGGGCACCAGAGCTCAAGGAACGGGAGCAGGGGGTTGGACTAGATGACCTCCAAGGTCCCTTCCAACTTAGTAGTAGTAATAGTAGTAGTAGTAGTAATAGTGGATGTGGCAGTGCCTGGAGACAGCAGAATAGGCGAGAAAGAACTGGAGAAGATAACAAAATACAAAGACCTACAAATAGAAATAGAAAGACTGTGGCAAAAGCAAGCAAGGGTAGTACCAATAGTCATAGGCGCCTTGGGTGCAATCCCAAAACAACTGGAGCACCACTTGGACACCATTGGCATTGACAAATTCGCCATTAGTCAATTGCAAAAGGCAGCCTTACTAGGAACTGTTTCCATCATGCGACGATATCTGTAATACCATCAAACATCCACATCTGCCTATCCCAGATCCTTGGTAAGGACTCGATAGGTAGACAAAATGCCAAATCCAGTCTGAACATCTGGCTGACTGTGTGATGATCAATAATAATAATAATAATAGTAATAATAATAGTAGTAATAATAATAATAGTAATAATAATAATAATAATAGTTAGAGACCATCTGCTCTGAGAACTCGACCCAAATCTTCAGTCTCGTGGGTTTAGCTGGGACTTCTCTACTTTTGATTGTGGTCAAAGCTCCTCAGAAAGTTTGAATCCCTTCAGATGTGTAGTGTAACCTCATGGCTTCTAAAACCTTTCAATCTGGTTCGGGGAAGGGCAGTGGGAGAAGGCTGGGCAGCGCTTGGCAAATGCTATACTGGTAGTCCTCGACTTAGGACCGTGACTGAGCCCAAAATTTCTGTTGCTAAGTGAGACATTTGTTAAGCGAGATTTGCCCCACTTTACGACCTTTGTTGCCACAGTTGCTAAGTGAATCATGGCGGTTTTTAGGTTAGCGCCACGGTTAAATGAACCTGGCTTCCCCATTGACTTTGTGACCTTCAGAAGGTCACAAAAGGGGATCATATGACCTTGGGGCACAGCAACGGTCATAAGTGTGAACCAGTTGCCAAGCCTCTGAATTTTGATCACGTGACCATGGGGAGGCTGCAACGGTTGTAAGTGTGGAAAACGGTCATAAATCATCTCTTTCAGTGCTGTTGTAAGTTCCAACGGTCACTAAAGAAACTATTGTAAGTCAAGGATTCTCTGTAGAGCTATCTGCAGGGTGTGTCAGGGAAGTGAAGGTCTTCCAGGCTGGGGGACATTGGGGCGTTTTGAAGCCTGGGCCATGTCCAACCTTGGAAGCTTTGATGGACGCTGAAGAGAAGCCCTTGAGATGCCTTCTGTAGCCCCAATGGCCCGATTTCGGTTTGAGGCAACATGGCTACTTTGTGAGGTAAAGGGCGCTGTCTCTTCCACAGACAGAATGGATTGCATCTCCTCCATGGTGCAAACCACTTCATCAAAGAGACTCTCAGTTGCTCCATGCAGGCATAATAAGCAGGGTTGGGTGACTCAGTGTTTCTCAACCTTGACCATTTTAAGGCATGTGGACTTCAACTCCCAGAATTCCACAGCCAGCAATGCTGGCTGTGGAATTCTGGGAGTTGAAGTCCACATGCCTTAAAATGGTCAAGGTTGAGAAACACTGCCAGCCGTGTAGCTGTTGCGTCTTTGGAGACACGGTAGCTCCCCAGAGCAAGGCTGTGGAAATCTAGCTGTTGGTACATGAACTGCGATTTGAAAATCAGGGTTTATATAAAGTGGGTTTGAAAATGAAGGATGTTTTTTTCCCCTCCTTTACATATATAAAGCTGGAGTCATCCTTGAAGTTTTTAAGGTATTACATTGAAAGTGAATTTTAACGTCCGTAGGTTAAGAGGAAGTTAAAAAAAGAGAGTAAAGTTTAAAAACAAAGATGTGTTAGAACTTATTGATTTTAGAAAGGTTTTTAAAGAAAAAGTTATGTTTTAACATTTAGAAAAAGGTTTCCCCCCTCCCCCTTAACGGTTAAAAAATTTGAAAGAAAATACTGGATTTTATTAATGTGAATTATGACAGTCTATAAATATTAATGAGCAAACATAAATATATATTATTTCCCACAGCAAAGAAAAGCAGAGATGGTTAAATCAATTCTTTTATCCAAAGAAGAAAATATATTTCATTTTGTTTCAATTTGGAAATTGCTTCCAGACTGTGTGCTTGTGATGGCGGGGGGGGGGGGGATGAAATTTTGACTTTGTTTTTGTTGATTAGACAGACTTGTTGTTATAGAAATGGCTAGTGTGTATACTATGGTATAAAAGTAAAAAAGTTGAGGTTGTAAAGCTATTATCTTCTATTGTGCCAAAGATAGTTAGAATTCAACACCTTTTTTTTTCCCCTTCCCAACCCAAATTTTCTCTTTTGCCCTTTTTCCTTCCCATAATTTTCCATTACTTTTTGGGCTAGATGACCTCCAAGATCCCTTCCAACTTTATTATTATTGTTGTTGTTGTGATGGTGAGGGTGATGGTGGTGATGATGATGATGATGATGGATCATCACACAGTCAGCCAAATGTTCAGATTGGATTTGGCATTTTTGTCTACCTATCGAGTCCTTACCCAAGACCTGGGATAGGCAGATGTGGATGTTTAATGGTATTACAGGTATCATCGCAAGATGGAAGCAGTTCCTAGTAAGGCCACCTTTTGCAATTGACTAATGGCAAATTTGTCAATGTCAGTGGTGTCCAAGTGGTGCTCCAGTTGTTTTGGGATTGTACCCAAGGCGCCTATTACTATTGGTACTACCCTTGCTTGCCTTTGCCACAGTCTTTCTATTTCTGTTTGTAGGTCTTTGTATTTTGTTATCTTCTCCAGTTCTTTCTCGTCTATTCTGCTGTCTCCAGGCACTGCCACGTCCACTATCCAGACTTTTTTGTCTTTCTTATCGACAATTGTTAAGTCTGGGGTGTTATGTTGCAGGTGCTTGTCTGTTTGAATTCTGAAGTCCCAGAGCAGTTTAATTTTATCATTTTCTATGACTTTCTCTATTTTATGATCCCACCAGTTTTTGCTTACAGGCAAATGATATTTTTTGCAGATCTTCCAATGCACCATTGTTGCTACTTTGTCATGCCATTATTATTATTATTATTATTATTATTATTATTATTATTATTATTATTATTATTATTATTATGTTGTTGTTGTTGTTGTTGTTGTTGTTGTTGTTGTTGTTGTTATTTGATCAAAATTTTTGAAATTTGAAAATCAGGGCTTAAATTCTGGAGAAATTGTAATGAAAGCCATTACAGTTCAATATAGCTCTGATTTTGTGGGTGATTCTTCCTCTCTTTCTTGGTCAGGAAGCAGCAAAACAATACCGAATCGGAGTACACTGAGAAACTGCAGCAATACAGTGAGTATCAGTTGGGACACACCCCATGTGTGTCAGTTCAACCAGGTAGACCGGACTAAAGACAATCACATATAAGTCAGGAGCGTTTTTTTTTTTTTTATTGTAAGAGCTATAGGGAAGAATCTTGCAATTTTAATGTGTTTCCTCCTTTCTCTCTTTGCCTACATGTAAATAAAGATGGACCTTATCCGAAACAATTTCTTCTGTTATTTTCGTAGGCTGGGCTGAAGCCCCTCTTATCAGAAATGTTGGCTTGTTGGTAATTCTTCCTCCTATCCCTCCAGGCCAGGGGTAAGCAACCTTGGCTCTTATATGACTCCTGGACTTCAACTCCCAGAATTCCTGAGCCAGCCATGCTGAGGGAAAAGGAAGAAGTTTCCAAGCTGAGCCATGCTGGCTCAGGAATTCTGGGAGTTGAAGTCCACGAGTCATAAAAGAGCCAAGGTTGCCTACCCCTGCTCCAGGCTATTCCCTTCTGCTCTCTACTGCAGGGATCTTCAGACGTGGTCCTTTTATGACTTGTGGACTCCAACTCCCAGAATTCCTCAGCCAGCGTGCCTGGCTGAGGAATTCTGGGAGTTGAAGTCCACAAGTCATGAAATGGACCAAGTTTGAAGACCCCTGCTCTACAGCATGGTGCATGTGACAATTCCCCTTGTAACTTCTCTAGATATTTAAGGATCAGGCTTCTTAACCCTTTGCACGGAGATCAGTGTGATTCATGCCCTACCACAACTGCACCCTTCACATCATCTTTTATACTTTTAGGGAGACTGCCGTGGTGGTAGGTCTCTGGGCTTCCCTATAGTTAATGAAGATATAAAAAAAGAATGCTATGCGAGGACAAGGCAATCTTGTAAACTCTGATCTTTGGCTAGATGGTCTGTGGAGATTCTCAGTCATCCAGGTCAGACTTTTTGTAGTTGCTATCTCCACGGGCAACTCTGTTGTGACAGTCCAGTGTAAGGATGGGCCACCTGGGGGAGGGGGGAGCCTGTTTATTAGAAAGGCCAGGCTGCTTGTGGGTCTCTGCATCCCAGTCACAACAACTAGACATCCTTTGTTAATCCCGCTTGACTGCCCAAAGGCCACCAGGATGGCCCCAGGAAATCTAACGGCTGTCAGTTAGACGGGGAAGTTAAAAAGAAAAAATAAATCTTTGAAAAGAAAAAAAAAAGACATGGGCTGACTACTTCCGTAGAGTGGCTGACACAGAGCTGACTGGGTCAATCAGCTAATCAATATCCCAACGATGCTTTTTCAAGAGGCAACTGGACTTTCTTGTTTTTCCTTGCATGAGGAGCAAAACGTTCTCAAGGAAAAACCCACAAAGTCAAATAAAAATTGGCTTTTGAAAAAACACCTCTGGGACTTAGCTAGATTGGTATCCCATAAGCCAGTGTTTTTGAACCTTAGGAACTTTTTTGAGGTATGGACTTCACTTCCCAGAATTCCACAGCCAGCATGCCAGCTAGGGAATTCTGAGCATTGAAGTCCCTGCATGCTGGCTGAGGAATTCTGGGAAATGAAGTCCTTACTTCTTCAAGTAGTCAAAGTTGAGAATCATTACCATAGACCAGGGGATCTTCAAACTTAGCAACTTTAAGACTTGTGGACTTCAACTCCCAGAATTCCTGAGCCAGCATGGCTCAGCTTGGAAACCTCTCCCTTTCCCCTCAGCATGGCTGGCTGAGGAATTCTGGGAGTTGAAGTCCACAAGTCTTAAAGTTGCCATGGTTGAGGACCCTGCCAGAGACTTTTAAATTTTTAATAGTTTGAACTGTTTATTTATTTATTAGGCAACTTTATCTAGCCACCCATCTACTAAAGGAACTCTATGTGGGTAACAACACAATCCAAATGTTCAGTCACTTTAAGGAAAACTAACTCCGGGTCCCTAAAATCTCTGCTAATATATTGTATATACTAAGCCTATGCTCAAGTTCCATTAATATCCTGGCCCCAGCAACTGGGAAAAAGCCAGCTCCTAAAACTTTCCATGAAGCTTCTTTTATTTCTTCTAAATTGGTTTATTGATGATTTTGCTATGACTATATATGCATCTTGAACTGGTTTTCCTTATTTGTTTGTTATAAATAAAGATCTTTATTAGCTTGTGTTTTTGCAATGTTATTATGTAAAGATTAATAATGATGGGTTGTCTTCACATTCTGGTCTTTAAATTGTTATTTAATTAGTTTGTTGTGCACACTGCGTTAAAAGGCATGCTGTAAATTACTTTGTAATTATAATGATAAAATAATGATTTATAGCGTGACTTTTTACATAGTTAGTTTATATTATTTTACGTTGCTTTATTTCAGCTACGGCTGTTGTTACTGCAGCATTATTATTTTCAAAATGTTAGTCTGATCAGAAGAATACTCAGCAAACCGGGTAATTTAGGGTCACTTTATCATCAAGTCTGGGAACTGTCAAAATACCTTCATATATATGGGTGTCATGTGGTTCCAAGCAGAACTGGTTTTTTTTGTAAATTAAATGTTACGAGGTCATATAGTTCTTGTGAAAATGGATTGCACCTGTTCAAGTGAATTGTTTTTTTGGTTGCATAATTTGCCATTAGGCTTCCAATCACCAAGATAATCAGGAAGAAAATATTTATACTGTATATTTAAGTGTGCTTTCTTCCTCTTCCTCTGTCTGACTGTCTATATCAGGGGTAGGCAACCTTGGCTTTTTTATGACTCGTGGACTTCAACTCCCAGAATTCCTGAGCCAGCATGGCTCAGCTTGGAAACCTCTCCCTTTCCCCTCAGCATGGCAGGCTCAGGAATTCTGGGAGTTGAAGTCCACGAGTCATAAAAGAGCCAAGGTTGCCTATCCTGATCCATCTTGTATTTGGAGATGGGGAGTCTCTAAGAGGAATTTATATGTGGCCTCCTCTTTTTCTCCCATCTACCCAAATCGTTTTATCTCTGCCCTTGCAGTTACTCCTGGAATGAAGGTTTACGTTGACCCTTTCACCTACGAGGACCCAAATGAAGCTGTCCGGGAATTTGCCAAAGAAATCGACATTTCTTGTGTAAAAATCGAGGAAGTGATTGGAGCAGGCAAGTCACCCAGCTGCATCCCCACTGGCTATCCTCAAAAAAGAGAAACCGGGAGGGCAGGGGATGTTGGGGTGCCCTTTGCTATTTTTGTCTCTCCCTTTCCTCCTCAGGTGAATTTGGGGAAGTTTGTCGGGGCCGCCTCAAACTGCCGGGCAGGCGGGAAATCTTTGTGGCCATCAAAACGCTGAAAGTGGGCTACACGGAGCGGCAGAGGCGGGATTTCCTGAGCGAAGCCAGCATCATGGGACAGTTTGACCACCCCAACATCATCCATCTGGAGGGCGTGGTCACCAAGAGTCGGCCGGTCATGATCGTTACGGAGTTCATGGAAAACTGCGCCCTTGATTCCTTCCTCCGGGTGAGGAGCGATCGCTACTCTCCCTAAAAGCAGGGCTTTTCAACCTTTTCACCCACTGTACCACTTTTAGGATATGGCAACATCCGAGTGCCACCAGTCGCCTAGCAAGGTGTCAAAAAGTTGATGACCAAAAAAAAAAAAAAAAGGAAAGAAGTGATAAAGTACATGTAGTCCTTGACTTACAACAGTTCGCTTAGTGACTGTTTGAAGTTACAATGGCACCGAAAAAGTGCCCCCCCAAGGCACAGCCGAGCAAGACACCTGCCTGCCCGCCCAGCGGCGTTCTTCCTCCTGTCTGAGGTTTTCATTGTTGGGAGGCATTTCTGTTGAGGATTGGCAGCGGGGGTATTTGGTTTTTATCCCCCCCCCCCATCTGCTGGGTGGTTGCAGCAGGTTTTGGTCACTTCACATGACCCTGGGACACTGTGACCATCATAGATATGAATCAGTTGCCAAGCATCTGAATGTAAATCACAAGACCCTGGAGATGCTACAACATTCCAGCTGATCGGCGCTTCTTCTGGGCTCAGCAGAAGCACTAGGATCAGTGCTGAGCTCCAGCTGGAGACTGACGCTGATCCTGGCGCTTCCGCTGAGCCCTGACAGCCCTGCAGCTTCAGCCGTCTCTCGCTCAGGCTTGTGCAGTGCTGCCACCGGTTCAGCTCATTCCCCTCCCCCACAATCGTACCACTGGTTGAAAAGCCCTGCCTTAAAGCTTAAGGCAGTGTTTCTCAACCCTGGCAACTTTAAGATGGGTGGACTTCAACTCCCAGAATTCCCCAGCCAGTATGGCTGGCTGGGGAATTCTGGGAGTTGAAGTCTACCCATTTTAAAGTTACCCGGATTGAGAAACACTGCCTTACAAAATTCTTTCCGCCGATTTTTTCTGCGACGGTTTCCTAACCCACTTGGTTTTCCTCTTCACTTAGGCCTCCCTTGTTGTGGCCTGCAAACCAAAAACCCCAAGGAGGGTTATTTATGTTCTCCAATGTATACGTAAGGAGAAAAGTAAATTCAAGTAGAAATTAGGCAGCTTTAGGAAGTTGGCAGAAGCTGGTAAGCGTTGCCTGATTTTGGGCACGATGGATCCACCTCTGGCAATGCGAGAAATAGAAGGAGCAATTGAAGCCTCTCCTGTCTACTTGTCCTGGGGATGCTCAAAGGCTTGCTACAAATTGACCCGGCATTCGCATGTATACATTAGTTACCCTTGAGAAATACTTGTTCAGACTCTAAAAGGAGTTCAGAGAAGAGCAACAAAGATGATTAGGGGACTGGAGGCTAAAACACAACCAAAAACAGTTGTAGGAATTGGATATGTCTAATCTAGCGAAATGAAGGACGAGGAGCGACATAAAAGCAGTGTTCCAGTATCTAAGGGATGCCACAAAGAAGAGGGAGTCAAGCTATTCTCCAAAGCTCCTGAAGGCAGGACAAGAAACAATCATCAAGGAGAGAAGCAACCTAGAACTAAGGAGAAATTTCCTGGCAGTGAGAACGATTAATCAGTTTGAACAATTTCCCTTCAAAAGTCGTGGGTGCCCCATCACTGGAGGTTTTTAAGAAGAGATTGAACAACTGTTTGTCTGAAATGGTACCGGGTCTCCTGCTTATGCAGGGGGTTGGACTAGAACAGGGGTCTTCAAACTTGGCCCTTTTATGACTTGTGGACTTCAACTCCCAGAATTCCTCAGCCAGCCACGCTGAGGGGAAAGGGAGAGGTTTCCAAGCTGAGCCTAGCTGGCTCAGGAATTCTGGGAGTTGAAGTCCACGAGTCATAAAAGAGCCAAGGTTGCCTATCCCTGCTCTAGGCCCTAGGGCAGGGTCAGGCAACCTTGGGCCTTTTATGACTTGTGGACTTCAGCTCCCAGAATTCCTCAGCCAGGCATGCCTGGCTGAGGAATTCTGGAAGTTGAAGTCCACAGGTCATAAAAGGGCCAAGTTTGAAGACCCTTGGACTAGAACAGTGGTTCTCAACCTGTGGGTCGGGACCCCATTTGGGGTCGAATGACCATTTCAAGGGGGTCGCCAAACCATGCTGTCTGCCATTTTTTTCCCTTTTCCCTAGCTGTCCTACTCTCTCTTATTGGTGGCCACACCCACTTGGGGGTCACCACAACATGGGGAACTGTATTATGGGGTCACGGCATTAGAAAGGTTGAGAACCACTGGACTAGAAGATCTCCAGGCTCCCCTTCCTACTCTATTATTCTGTTAAAATGACTTTCTTCTGAAAAAAAATAAAGTCAAGGTTCTTACTACGTTACAAGCGCACCGTATAAAGTAATGGTGCACAATAAGTGAACAGGCAGATAAGTTGGAAAGCAGGTTGATCTGTTGTACATCATGCAGGATTATTCCCAAGCAACAAGGTTAACTTTGACACTTCTTCCTTGCTCAGAGACCAAGGCTAACATGCAGCAGGCTCTCTGTTTTTCCAGGTGTTTCCCAAATATGTTTGTGATCCCATCAGCTTGATGAGAAGAGGCGAGACAGGGACTTGGAATGAGAACATGCAAATGTCCTCATTTCATAATAATAATGATAATAATAAAGTTGGAAGGGACCTTGGGGGTCATCTAGTCCAACCCTCTGCTCAGGCAGGAAAACCTATACCATTTCAGACAAATTGCTGTCCACTCTCTTCTTAAAAACTTCCAGTGTTGGAGCATTCACCACTTCTGGAGGCAGGTTGTTCCGTTTGTAAATTGTTCTCACTGTCAGGAAGTTTCTCCTTAGTTCTAGGTTGCTTCTCTCCTTGATTAGTTTCCACCCGTTGCTTCTTGTCCTGCCTTCAGGTGCTTTGGAGAACAGCTTGACCCCCTCTTCTTTGTGGCAGCCCCTGAGTTATTGGAACACTGCTATTATGTCCCCCCTCGTCCTTCTCTTCATTAAACTAGACATATCCAATTCCAGCAACCGTTCCTTATATGTTTTAGTCTCCAGTCCCCTAATAATCTTTGTTGCTCTTCTCTGTACTCTTTCTAGAGTCTCAACATCTTTTTTACATTGTGATGATCAAAACTGGATGCAGTATTCCAAGTGTGGCCTTACCAAGGCCTTGTAAAGTGGTATTAACACTTCACATGATCTTGATTCCATCCCTCTGTTAATGCAGCCTAGCACTGTGTTGGCCTTTTTGGCAGCCGCAGCACACAGTGGCTCATATTTAAGTGATTGTCCACTAGGACTCCGAGATCCCTCTCACAGTTACTATTATTGAGCAGAGTACCCCCTATACTATACCTGTACATTTGGTTTTTCTTGCCTAAATGTAGAACCTTACTTTTTTCACCATTGAACTCTGGATGTAACTCATTGCAGACAGCCCTGTCTTCAAAACAGCTCATGCTACCCTAGATAGAAAAGATCTCAAGATGCCTGTCTGGATGGAAACTGGATGCAGATACTTAACTGGGTGAAATGGCCTTCATCAGGAGTGCCCTTACCTTTTTAAATACCATTTAACTCCCTTTGGCTCTGGGGAGATCCGAACGGTTCATTTAGTGACAGTTCGAAGTCACAACAGCACTGGAAAAAAAATGAGTTATGACCGTTTTTCATCCTTACAACCGTCGCGGCCTCCCCCACATTCACGTGATCAAAATTCTCAGACACTTGGCAACTGACTCATATTTATGATGGTCGCAGTGTCTGGGGGGGGGTCACGTGACCCCCTTTTGCATCCTTCTGACAAGCAAGGTCAAATGAGGGAGCCAGATTCACTTAACAACCATATCGCTCACTTAACGACTGTGGCAAGAAAGGTCAGAAAATGGGGCAAAGCTCACTTAACAACTGTCTCGCTTAGCAACAGAAATTTTGGCTTCCATTATGATCGTAAGTCAAGGATGGCCTGTCGAGTTCTTTGGTGGTCCCACTTTCACTGAACCCTCTTAGAACAGTCAAGGGGAGGATTTTGTGTGCCCCTTGCGTGAATTTAGAGCAGAGGGTTTTGGTTTCCCCAAATTTGTCTGAAAACCCACCCTTGTTGTCCCCAACAGCTGAACGATGGGCAGTTCACTGTGATCCAGCTGGTTGGCATGCTGCGTGGCATCGCAGCGGGTATGAAATACCTCTCGGAGATGAACTACGTCCATCGGGACCTGGCTGCCCGCAATATTCTGGTCAACAGCAACCTGGTGTGCAAAGTGTCAGATTTTGGACTCTCGCGGTTTTTAGAGGACGACCCCTCTGACCCCACGTACACCAGTTCACTGGTAGGTGACAAACTTGAGGATGTCTCTCTTCCCTTCCATTGTGAGTTTGCAAAGAAGGGTGCAGGATCCCCATTCTACCTGGATTAAATGTTGCTGAAAGATCCCTATTCACTCAGTTGCTAGAGCAGGGGTCCCCAACCCAGGTCTGTGGACCAGTATCGGGCCACGGCGTGCCAGCAACCGGTCCGCACAAACAAGCAAAGCCCCATCCGCGGGATGCAGGCAGCACACACAAAACAACGCATCCTTCAGTCCGTGGAAAAACCTCTCTCCACGGAACCGGTCCCTGGTGCTCAAAAGGTTGGGGACCTCTGTGCTAGAGTCTCCACAACCACATGTTCAAGCAACAGAGGAATCTTGCCAAAGTAAAACTAAAATTACACAAGCTGGATGCACGTCTATGGAGATTCTCACTCATCCAGGTCATGGTTGTCCCAAGGTGCTTTTTCAGAAGGCAACTGGACTTTGTTTTTCCTTGAAGACATTTCACTTCTCACCCAAGAAGCTTCTTCAGTTCTGAAGAAGCTTCTTGGATGAGTAGCAAGACGACTTCAAGGAAAAATGAAGTCCACTTGCCTTCTGAAAAAGCACCCTTGGGATAAGCTGGATACCATCCTATGTAATGGTGTGGGAATTAATCTGAAATTGATAGACAGATTAATTGATCTGAGAAGACCAGCAAGGTTGAACCTGGGTATGGAAGAGAACCAAGAAAGCCTAGCACCGTAGATTAGACCAGCTTTACTCAACCTTAGCAACTTTAAAATCTGTGGACTTCAACTCCCAGAATACTGGGAATCAAAGTCCACACATCTTAAAAGTTGCTAATGGTTGCAAAACAATGAATTAGACCAGGGGTAGGCAACCTTGGCTCTTTTATGGCTCGTGGACTTCAACTCCCAGAATTCCTGAGCCAGCCAAGTTGAAGTCCACGAGTCATAAAAGAGCCAAGGTTGCCTACCCCTGAATTAGATGGTGAATGGACATGTCCATATTGTTTTTTTGGCAGCAGCATGGGAGTGCTTTGGTATCTGGATATGTTCATGACATCACTAGGATTTGAACTTGATTCGTAGGTTTTATTAGAAAAAAAATACATGTTAATGCAATGAACGATTGGTTTATGGGACACCCTGCCACTGGGCCAAATGGCTTTAAACAAATCAGTAGATCTGTCAGAAGCTCTTGATGCCATTTGCTTAGGAGGAGAAAAATGGAAGACAGTATTATCTTCCAACGAATTCTTGGAAATAAGGACTTGACTTGGAAAGGGTTAGTCTGATCCAGCTGCTAGAATTAGCAATTTGGGTCTTCCCCATGGCTGGCTGGGGAATTCTGGGAGTTGAAGTCCTCAAGTCTTAAAGTTGCCACGTTTGGAGACCCCTGTGTTTGTTTTTTTTATTAAAAAGTTTTTATTTTCCATTTATTCATACAAAATACAATTAAAATAAATTCCTAACCATTGGTACCGCCTGCCCATTCCCCCCAGGCTGCCTCCACCCTCTCTAATCCTTCCCTACTTCCCTCCTCTTTCTCTCCTCCCCTCCTACTCTCTTCCCCTCCCCTTCTCCTCTAACCATCCTACTTCCTCCCTACTCCTTCCTCCCCTCTCATCCCTCTCACACACATGAACGCAGCAGAGGGAGACCCCTGTGTTAAAGGAAAGAGCTTTGCACAGAAAGAGGGCCCAGCTCCTCTATGTAATTAAAAATAAGAGCCGTGGTGGCGCAGTGGTTAGAATGCAATGTTGCAAGCTAACTCACTGCTCACTGCCAGGAGTTCGATCCTGACCGGCCCAAAGTTGACTCAGCTTTCCATCCTTCTGAAGTCAGTAAAATGACCCGGATTATTAGGGGTAAATATGCTGACTGTAAACGTTTAAGAGAGGGCCGTAATGCGCTGTGAAGCGGTATATAAGTCTAAGTGCTATTGCTTTTGCTAAAGTCAGATAGACATTTAACACTCCCATTGAATCTTGCAGGGTGGTAAGATCCCAATCCGGTGGACAGCCCCAGAAGCCATTGCCTATCGCAAGTTCACTTCTGCCAGCGACGTCTGGAGCTATGGCATCGTCATGTGGGAAGTGATGTCTTACGGTGAGAGGCCCTACTGGGACATGTCTAACCAAGATGTAAGTATGTAGAGCCAAAGTGGAAGCACGTGCAAGGAAAGGGGCAAAGAGAATAGCTGGGAGCAGAGCCCCGGTGATTGAGCCCTTGTTTTCTGCTGCTACTCCTCCAGGTAATCAACGCAGTGGAGCAAGACTACCGCCTTCCTCCCCCAATGGACTGCCCCACGGCGCTGCACCAGCTCATGTTGGACTGCTGGGTACGGGATCGCAACCTTCGCCCCAAATTTGCACAGATAGTGAACACGTTGGACAAGCTAATCCGGAATGCAGCCAGCTTGAAGGTCATCGCCAATGTCCAGTCTGGGTCAGTGTCGTTTGCCCCTTCACCCTCTCCAAGCACAGGCAACCTGCTATGTCTGGATTAGTAGCGTCAAGTCTCTAGTTCTCATGGTTTATGGCAGCCAACTGGATATAACCTTGGGAGGTGGAGGCAGGCAGCAGCCGGGGCCTGAGCGAAGAGCCCAACGGGTGGACTGGGAACCAGATGGCCCCCTTAACCTTCTGCGTGCCGCAGGACTGCCAGGCCTGTCCCCGTGGCTCGGCCACCCACCACCCCGCCCCTTTGAGCCATCTCTGACCTCTGGGCTCTCTCGTCCTTCGCAGCGTGTCTCAGCCGCTCCTGGATCGCACGGTGCCCGATTATACTACCTTCACTACTGTGGGCGACTGGCTGGATGCTATCAAAATGGGACGGTACAAGGAGAACTTTGGCAACGCCGGCTTTGCCTCGTTTGACCTGGTGGCCCAAATGACCGCTGAGTAAGTAGGGAGGGATAGCAGTCTAGGATGGCAGCAGGAGAAGCAGCAATCTGCTGCCCTGCTGGGAGATGTATGAGATCTGGCTCCTTCCACTATTCGTGGGAAAACCCTGTGCAGTTGGCGGAAGGAACAGTAGGCAGTTCAGCAGTTCAGGCTGGGTGTGCGGTGGGTTGACTAAGTCTCCAGGTGAGTGCGATAGTAAACACTGGGCTTGCACACCTCTCCTTCTGTCTCTAGGTCTCCCTATGGCAGGGGTCTTCAAACGTGGCCCTTTTATGACTGGTGGACTTCAACTCCCAGAATTCCTGAGCCAGCATGGCTCAGCTTGGAAACCTCACCCTTTCCCCTCAGCATGGCAGGCTCAGGAATTCTGGGAGTTGAAGTCCACGAGTCATAAAAGAGCCAAGGTTGCCTACCCCTGGCCTAGGCCTAGGCCACTTTATGACTCGTGGACTTCAACTCCCAGAATTCCTGAGCCAGCCATGCTGAGGGGAAAGGGAGAGGTTTCCAAGCTGAGCCATGCTGGCTCAGGAATTCTGGGAGTTGAAGTCCACGAGTCATAAAAGAGCCAAGGTTGCCTACCCCTGGCCTAGGCCACTTCATGACTTCATGACTCTTCATGACTCATGGACTTCCAGAATTCCTGGGCCAGCATGGCTCAGCTTGAAAACCTCTCCCTTTCCCCTCAGCGTGGCTGGCTCAGGAATTCTGGGAGTTGAAGTCCACGAGTCATAAAAGAGCCAAGGTTGCCTACCCCTGGCCTAGGCCTAGGCCACTTTATGACTCATGGACTTCAACTCCCAGAATTCCTGAGCCAGCCATGCTGAGGGGAAAGGGAGAGGTTTCCAAGCTGAGCCATGCTGGCTCAGGAATTCTGGGAGTTGAAGTCCACCAGTCATAAAAGAGCCAAGGATGCCTATCCCTGGGATCGACGATCTCCTGGAAGTGCTTTACTCCTGGCTGTGTGACGGAAGGCAAGAGGGTCACTGTAAAACTACTGCCCCGTCGCTGATCTTTGACTGGATCTCAAAAACATGTCGGGCAATCAGATAACCCTCGACTTACGACCACAGTTAAGATCAGAATTTTGGTTGCTAAACAAGGCAGTTAAGCGAGTTGCGCTTGATTTTATGATATATTTTTGCCACAGTTGTTAAGCGTGTCACTGAGATTATTAAGTGAATCTGACCATCATTAAGTGAATCATGTAGTTAAGTGAATCCAGCTTGCCCCCCACTGACTTTGTTAATCAGAAACCAGCATAGATGTTGATTGCCGAGCACTCAAATTTTGATCACATGATCTGTGGAGATTCTGCAACAGTTGTAAGGGTGAGGATTGATCATCAGCCACTATTTTCAGTACCATTGAAAGTCTGAATAGTTACTCAGCTAATGGTTGTAAGTATTGCTGGACACATGGCAAGTAAAAAAATAACAGAATAACAGCGTTGGAAGGGACCTTGGAGGTCATCTAGTCCAACCCCCTGCTCAATCTGGATATACCCCCTACACCATTCCAGACAAATGGCTGTCCAATCTCTTCTTTAAAAACTTCCGGTGTTGGAGCACCCACGACTTCTGGAGGCAAGTCATTCCATTGATTAATTGTTCTCACTGTCAGGAAATTTCTCCTTAGTTCTAGGTTGCTTCTCTCTTTGATTAGTTTCCATATGTTGTTTCTTGTCCGGCCTTCTGGTGAAGAATACGTTGACTCTCTCTTCTTTGTGACAGCCCCTCAAGTATTGGAAGACTGCTATCATGTCACCCCTACTCCTTCTTTTCATTAAACTAGACCAGTGTTTCTCAACCTTGACAATTTTAAGGCATGTGGACTTCAACTCCCAGAATTCCACAGCCAGCATTGCTGGCTGTGGAATTCTGGGAGTTGAAGTCCACATGCCTTAAAATGGACAAGATTGAGAAACACTGAACTAGACAAACCCAATTCCTGCAACCGTTCTTCCTATGTTTTATCCTCCAGTCCCTTAATCATCTGTATTGCTCTCCTCTGGACTCTTTCTAGAGTTTCAACATGTTTTTTTATATTGTGGTGACCAAAACTGGATGCAATATTCTAAGTGTGTTCTTACTAAGGTTTTGTAAAGCAATACTAATACTTCACGTGATCTTGATTCTATCCCTCTATTAATGTAGCCTAGGACTGCGTTGGCTTTTTTTTTTTTTTTTTTTTGGCAGCTGCAGCACACTGCTGGCTCATATATAATTAATTGTCCACAAGGATTCCAAAATCCTTCTCACAGTTAATTACTATTCAGCCAGGTACCACTTATTCTATACCTGTGCATTTGATTTTTCTTGCCTAAATGTAAAATCTTATTTTTCTCTACATTGAATTGAAGAGAGTAAAAAGGATTACTCTCTAGGTAACAGGATTGGTTCCAGGCCTGGAAGAAAGCAGCAGGCAAGATCCTTCTTATTACAAGTATCATGCAAACAACCTTCCCCATTCCTGACTTTTCCCTCTCCCTTTAAATTCAACGCTTGTCACGGTCGGTCGTTGTCTGCTGCGGACTTCAGCTCATTCTCACCCAGCCACCCTCCTTGTCTTTTTCTCCTCTGAACCCTCTCCACCTTTCCCAGGGTGGGAAAACTCCCTTTGCAACGTAGACAGGCCACCAGGATGCAAACGGTGCTCTTTGTGTGCCAGACCCACAAATGAAGAAAATGACAACCGAAGCAAAAATCAGCAAGCTAGGAAAAGTTGCTGTTTTGACAAAAGAAAAATGGGAGGCAGTGCATCCAATCAATCCATGTTCTATTCTTGGTCAGAAAGCAAAGGAGCATGTCCAATGAATCATTTTTGTAAAAATGAATGGTGCTCATAAGTTTAAAGAATAGAAAATAGAATAGAATAGAATAGAATAGAATAGAATGGAATATGGAATAGAATATGGAATATGGAATAGAATATGGAATATGGAATGGAATAAGAATAGAATAAAATATGGAATGGAATAAGAATAGAATAAAATATGGAATGGAATAAGAATAGAAAAGAATATGGAATGGAATAAGAATAGAATAGAATATGGAATGGAATAAAAATGGAATAAGAATAGAATAGAATTTATTGTCACTTTAAATGTACATTAATCAGCATACATATAGAATGGAATGGAATGGAATATGGAATAGAATAAGAATAGAATAAAATATGGAATGGAATAAGAATAGAATAAAATATGGAATGGAATAAGAATAGAAAAGAATATGGAATGGAATAAGAATATGGAATAGAATAAGAATAGAATAGAATATGGAATGGAATAAGAATGGAATAAGAATAGAATAGAATTTATTGTCACTTTAAATGTACATTAATCAGCATACATTAAAATGAGATTTGGTTGCATGCAGCTCTTAAAGGGTAACCGCCCTTTAATTATGTCATGCTCAAAAAAGACCAACATCCAGGCTTCAGGACTTTGGGATTCCCCTAACCTAGTATTTCTGAACCTGAACAGAATTCCCCAGCCAGCGAGCCATGCTGGCTGAGGAATTCTGGGAGTCGAAGTCCACACATCTTCAGGTTGCCCATATTGAGAAACACTGCCCTAAGCAAACTAACCAAATGCCCCCAAATGTAGGAATTCTGTCTGGAACGCAAAGCAGAAATGGCCATAGAGCAGGAGAGTCTAACCTGGGCAATTTTAAGACCTGTGGACTTCATCTTCCAGAATTCCTCAGCCAGTCATGCTAGCTGAGGGATTCTGGGAATTGAAGCCCACAAGTCTTAAAGTTACCAAGTTTGAATACTCTTGCCATAGAGCAGGGGTCTTCAAACCTGGCCCTTTTATGACTTGTGGACTTCAACTCCCAGAATTCCTCAGCCAGGCACGCTGGCTGAGAAATTCTGGGAGTTGAAGTCCACAAGTCATAAAAGAGCCAAATTTGAAGATCCCTGCCATAGAGGATGGAAGCCAGTGACTGCATGAGAAGGGCCACCCCACAGCAGACAGCTCTCTCCTCAAAAGTCTCTTTTTCCACCTCAGATGGCATCTATGCATGGAAAATCTTCTTCATTTTCCCATGGAAGACCACTTTCCCATCAGATCACGCTGCTCTGTCTTCAGCCTACCCTACCACAGAGTGGTACTGAGATGGAGGCTTCTTTGTGAAAAATAAGAGAGGTCTCTCAGTGTAATGTGGATTTTGATTTGATCCATGAGGTGTTTTAATGTTCTGAAGCATCCAGGGACCCCTAAACTGATTAGTTGTGTTCAAATTGAAATTGTAGGTGATCCATCACTGCAGGCTTTTAAGAAGAGATTGGACAGCCATTTTTCTGACATGATATAGGCTCTCCTGCTGGGGAATTGAACTAGAAGACTTTCAAGGTCCCTTCTAACTCTTCTTATTCTGTTAATTGTGAGTTTGAGAGTATATATACTCTTGCTTTGACAGCCAGGGTGACATTAACAAGCCATAATGGAGCCAATAACAACAGCAACACAGCATACAAAATGTGATACATGGCCTGTATAGCTGTGATCGCCTTCACACACTACGTTTAATCAAACTAATCAATCCATATGATACTGGTAGTTCTCGATTTACAACCATTTATTCAGCGGCCATTCAAGATTTCCAAGGTGCTGAATGAAGGGACTTATAGTCCCTGCCCAGAGTTATGGCTGCTGCAGTATCACCATGGTCACCTGAACGAAATTTGGGTGCTTAGCAATCCTTGGCAATGGATTGTGGTCGCTCCCAAAATGGCGCCCACCTCTGGGATAGAGCCTCACCGCCTTCGTGTAGGAAGGCCACATGGCGGATCAGCTGTGAAGTGGACTGAGCCCTGATGGGGTGGGGGAAGGCGTGGGACCCAGCGAGGTGAAAAGCAGCCCCAAGATCTCTGGGGACCCAGCAGAGCAGGAAGCGGAGCAGAGGATGTCATGAGTTGGGGGAACGCCCTGGGAAGACCACCTGTGAGCTGGATGGGTGCTGCAGTGCAGGTCTCCCCTCATTGCCAGACAC